TTCTCAATTTTTTTTTGACATTCTTAACAAAATGTCTGTCTGAGGTCTCTTTGATGTCTGTAGCGTCCAGGGTACATAGTTGGAGTATAGGTGCAGGCTGGTCGCATAGCAAGGTTATCAGTGGGAGTGTCTCCCCGGTGTCAACTGGCACTATCTCTTAATGACTACCCCATCTCGTGCTTAATCGGCGACACGTATAAACCATCCTGCTTCTGCATATTCAACGTCGCGCGCAGCCTCACTAAAGGATTGAAGTTTTTAAGAGGCAACGGGTTCATGTGAGACCCGTGACAGATGGCAAGGACGATATCGGTCGTCGAAGGCTGCTGCTGTCCTCGTCCCTCGTCGGCAATGTACGAGCCTCCTCGGATCCTGTTCTCGCTCGGAGATAACCTGGACCGCGTCCATTTTGCCACCAATCAGAGAAACGCCTGGCTAATCCCTATACCGCAATCCTGTTGGCGGGAAACTTTTAATCGTTGCTTAATTGCCGAAGGTGAACGTGGACCTGATGAAAATAATTCAACCATACAGAATGTATTACAGTGAATGTATAAGGTCCAGGGCGACCATGAGGTTGCTCTAGGTATAAAAAAAAAAACGTGGGCGCTTTGGTACGCTCACTTTTAAACATATAAGATCATCCTAAAAAAATTTTTTTTAATTTTTTTTCTTTCCGATAGAAAAAAAGTGTCACGGCTCGATTGGATAGTTAATAAATTATGGAACGTCGCTTAATCTGTCAAACTATGTCGACTCGGAGATGACACAAAAAATGGTCCAGACTCGATCCAGACGAATGACCGATAAATAGAATGCCGAACCTTTATGGGGTTAATGACATTCACCTTCCTAGACGAATACTCATGGTTTACCATACGTCTGGCTCATCCTCTCTTTGTTCTCTTTTTTCTTTTACTCCTCTTAACTGTCGTCGCTCCATCCTGCCAGGATCTGTACTGTGTTTCGTTTAGTGGCTGATATGCATACACGGTTCCAACTAGATTACTAAATTATTAACGTATCAGTAGAACGCTACCGTCTACTCCAGCCGTACGGAATGGACAAATGGGTTCTTGGTGTAGAAAAGGAAAAGAAAAGAAAAAAGTCAAAGCGTCTAGTCTGCAGTCTAGACAATTCCGACGGTGTCATAATACGACGTCAACCGTGCACCAGGAAGTCATCGTTACGCCTTGACAGGACCTGACGTCCTGGCGACGCCGGGGCGTCATTTAACCTCGTCCTTTAAAGTATTAATTTTTTCCCGCCGTCGAGTCATCCATTTTCTCTCCGGGTGTCCAAGAGCGTTCAGTAATACCTGGACCAGCGCCGTCCGTGAGACTTTTTACTCTACAGGGAGTCCCGGATGGACCCTAAACGAATTCCTTAGTATCCGGACACCTCAGCGCTTGTATGGAGTACAACGTCTTAATCGGCCAGCTGATGGGCTAATACATATTCTCGACTAATTACCCAACCGAAAATTAACAGCTACTGGGTTAACTTCACTGATGACGAAATCAACCTTAGAGGTCTCTCATCTGGTAGACAGAAAATTTGGGACTGATTAGAGATTGGAAATTTTTAAGGTCCTCACCACGGTAGGAACGACCTGGCGTACGGTCACATAAATCAGACGACGCCCGGCGTCGTTGTCGCCGTAGCGAATGGTTAGGCTGCGTGTTGTACATTTGTCGAGCCGTTAAGGTCGGACATTAACGTCCTGTCGTTCCACGGGAACACAGAGGCGCGCCACGTTTATTCCTCTCAGGTTACTAACGCCGCGCTCGAGACTCTTTTATAGGGATGCTGTGATCTTCTCTCTGGACCAATTCGACTATCAGAGAATTTCAAGCGTTTACGTATCCGTAAACTGGAACGAACTAGTTGCTACTCCTCTATGGGAAAATACTCTTTACCACATTCTAACCTCACTCGCTGTTACCTTCGTTTTATCTCTAATCACTGCGCTCCGATCAGGAACCAGGAGATTAGGCTGGACGAGTTAATAAACGAGTAGCGGATGCTGGCCTGGGACAGTCTTACACGCTCAAAGAAACTGAAGCAAGCCAAACGGATTAAGATACAGCCTAAAAATTCCTAAATAAATCACAGACAAAGAAATTCCCTAGGATTGTATAATCAGTTACAAAAAAAAAGAACCATCTCAACCATCTTACAATCTTTCAAATATATACATATATTTTTTAAGAAGGGTAGTTTTCAGGCCTTTTTGTCTTGAGTATTGGCAGTTTTGAGGACACTTGGTGTTTGTCAGGACGGGCCTGATAGCATTTAGATACGTAAGGTATACTGTCAGAACCATAAAGTAGCACTCACACCGAATTTTCCGAAAAAATTTTCATGCTACACACTCGCAGTTGTGGTGGGCTAAGAAGTGATTTCGTTAGGTTAGGTTAGGTTAGAATTTTAATACGACATGTCTCAAGTTTTCGTTTTTTTTTTTTTAAAACACATGGGCTTGCCATTGTGAGTGGCATGCGTCCTCATAGCTACCCTTTGACAAGTTTATATATATATATATATATATATATATATATATATATATTTCTTAACAGATTTCACCAGGAGTCGAAGAATCAAAATAAAATATTGCATTCACCTATCCCATCTATCCCCAAGTATTCTGTTAACTCCAAAGCATAGCATGTCTTCTGAGAAGCTGAGTTGCTCCTCTCATGCTCTTGAGATTATTCATGCAAAGCTCCTGGTGCGCGATCAGGTAGAGTCGGAGAGCACACAGTAACCTGGTGGGTATTCCAAGTGAGTAACCGCATAAGAGCGTGTGCATTCACGTACGGAGTAGGTGGCGACGTCGAAAGGGAACAATTATCTCCGGGGAGCAAGAGGCTATATATACATCTATAGATATAGTACAGCAGAGCGTAGGAGCGCAGAAGCGTAGGACGGGGTAGCCGATGAGGAGGTTGCGACTTGAGCTCTCACTTAGCAGCCGCAGTGTCACGATCGGGACGGCACATTAGCATATCTCGACGCTCCGTGTAGAGCAGAACCACAGCTCGGTTATACGACTGGATCTATCGTGGGTCGTGGACGGCATTCGCTTCTTCTTTGGCTCCTTGAGAAGCGAGAACTCACTCAACAGGCTCACCAGCCCTCTGCTCTTCCGATCAGGCTATTACCTACCGGGATAGGCGTACGTCGCGTGTTGCCCCGCGTCACGATCAGGATCCTATTTGCATAGCACTGATGAAGCTGCTCTCCTCTTGGCGTCTTGTACTTCTTTATTCTGCTACGTACGATATCTAACCGAAATAGCACACACAGAAAACACGTGAGCGCGTAGCTTCGAGTAATCTCGAAAACTGTTTTTGGCAATACATCGCCATTTTTTAAACGTCCCATTGTATTTGAGATATATTGTAATTTTGAGCTTTTTGTATTGTATAGGGGTAATGAGGGTTTATGGGTATACTGATATTTATTTTTTTTTATCTTTGTTCAGGGTATTTAACGTTAAGTCTGCCTAAGGTTAGTTTTGCGATAAAAATGGGATCAACTCGAGAGACTCGTAAGAAGTGACGCGTGTACACATGGGTTTCTTATATAAAAGCCTCGATGGAAGGTACGGGTGCGGTATCGGTTCTGAGAAAGGCTTATCAGGCCGCGGATATGTTAATGGCGGCCATGTTCTCCCCTTTGAGATATATTACACCCTAGCGAGCCTGTGGGGGCGTTGGGGCACAGGAGTGAGGGGCGGGAGCTGAGGGGGCCCAGCACCCCCGATCAGGAGCGTTGCATGCACGCGCAATTAAGAATGGCCGAGCCAGCCTGGCCAGCCACCTTCTTACCTGCCTGCCTGCCTGCCTGCCTGTTTTCCTGCCTTCCTGCCTTCCTGTCTACCTACCTTTCGTATCTGCCTCGCGCTGCCTTGGATACACGCTGCCCGTCTCGCTACCGATCCATCGATGACTGCTTATTTACAGAGCGGGAACACGTTCCGCGGAGCCACGAAGATGCGCCACGGGATAGTCCATAAGAGCTGGAAGACCAAGACAATCTTCTTAAGGATCTTTCACCTCGAGCCTCTTTGCCCTGGGGAGGCAATTAAAATATCTGAGTAATTCGAGTGCCGAGATTTCACAATCTTGCATCTCTGCCCACCACGCTAGCCACCTGGTTAGCCCCTGATAATCCATTGAGTCATTTTCACTGACAATGAGCTCTTAACTACTTCTTTCCCTGCTTGTTACTTTTTTCTCTCTTTATTTCTTCTCCCGATGCCTACTGGTCTCTTAAATGACGTCTTCTCTCACGGCGGACCAAGACTCGACCAGACTGAGTGCTCTTTACGAATGGGACATAGTATCTTTTTTTTTTTAGTACTTTCGTACTTTTTACTACTTGGTACCGGTTGGAATTGACGTGTCAGCGCTGCTTAAGCACGATCAGCCCTCGGGACTGGCCCTTTAGGGTTCGAAGTTGAAGAGCAGGGCATGCGCCGTTGAGCGTCGTTTCTTCCTGGTGGGGATATGCTCCCTAGAGGGCAGGAGTGTTACTGTGAACAAAGGAGGGGATATTCAAGGGCTAGAATGGACGAAGGACGGCGTAGGGAGAACGAGGGAAATGTAAGATACGCACGGAGTGGCAGAGTGGCAGAGTATAGCGTGGAAAGATCCCATTAGGGACGCGGACGGCCGCAGAGACGCATCGTGTCTCTGTGTTTCCATCCCTCCTACTATTTCATCAACTCGTATATATATATATTTTGGCCTCGATTTTCTTTTCTTGATACAGTGTCGATTATTGTTTAATGTTTGCATTACTGAAAGCCGAAACTTCTCTTAGGCTGAAGTTATGGTAGTGTCACGCGAATCTCCAGATCACGTTGGATGGCAGATTTTTCGTATGAAATGTACGATTAAAATCTTCTTTGTCTAGCGTATAGTTGTATTTTTATTTATTTTTGGATTTGGGCATTTTTTAAATTTTTATTTGAATTTTTTGTACCGTTCCAGGGGAGGATGAAGAGTGGAGCGACTCGGAGAAGACTCCGTCTGTGAGCAGCGGGATAGAGGGTGGCGGATCAGCAGTATCGAGCCCTGCGGCACCACCTGTTGAGGAGGAACCGAATCTTCCGCCACCTCCAAGACTTAATCCTTCCGGTACTGGCTTACCACCGACTTCCGCCGCAGAGGACTTCCGGTTGCGACTCAGCGTCCTCTCCGAGGACACTCGTAAGCGGTTAGTCAGCCTTACTGAGGATATCGAGGTGAGCAGTCTACTGACTTTATAAGTAACGATGAAAGAGGTCAAAAGTCAATCAGAGTATTGGACCTTTCAGGCCGCTAGAGGATTACGAGAACGTCATGCCTCCTCGAGGTCGACGCAGGGTCGCGAACCAAGTCCCAAGAAGCCCCAATCAGACCCCGACGAGGATGGCAACGTTCCTAAGGATGAGGACACATCAAGACCTTCGTCCTCGATATCATCGTCGCGAAGGAGGGAGGCGAGGAGGGACTCCGAAGACTCGAGACGCTCCGACGAGCCTCCAATAGACTCTAAGAGGACGAAACTCGACGACGATGCTGCCCCGAGACTGAGACTGAATGCTAGTCTGGCAACGGACCCTGCACTCCGGCCAGCTACCGTTGCCGCCCTTACTATCAAGCCTGAGAACATCTCCCCTCCGAATCCCGCAGCACCACTTTCTGCAGGACTTCAAAATGGTACGCTTGTTATTGTCATACATCATCAAGATATACTTCTGGATTGATATACATTTTTCAGTGTTTTCATATTAATTTTAAAAAAATGTAACTGTGTTTCATCAGCTATTGCATCAGGTCGCTTATTCGTTCTGCCAACCGACGGGAAGGAAACGATAACCGTGGAACCAGCAAGACCAGCTCCTCTCATCTGTCCACCTTGTGGTATACGATTTAGTTCCGCAAGCACCCTGGAAGCTCACCGGACCTTCTACTGTGCGCACAGACCTCGCGTCGATGAGGAACCGACGAACGACGACGACGAGGAGAAGACTGGTGGAAAGTTTGAAGTCCGCAAGGCTTACGCCTGTCCGCACTGTTCCTATAGCAACGACAAGAAGGTTTCCTTGAATCGGCACATGAGGATGCACGCGTCGTCGCCGGTACCGCCACCTGTGCCGGCAGCACCTTTAACTCCCGGTACCGGAAATGCTGCTAACGGTTCGTTGAATGAGGAGGCTGAGAGATACTGTCGCAATTGCGACATCAGATTCAGCTCCTTAAAAACGTATCGCGCTCACAAAACGCACTACTGCAGTACCAGGCATGTTGTCAAGGACGTTCCTCCTCCGGTTAAGGCCTCACCACCGACGAGTTCGAGTCCTGGGGACTCGCCACCACCTCAGCCATGTCTAGCGCTTCCGACAAATCCTATCCTGATTGTTCCCTATTCCTTGTTCCGAGGCGCGAGCGTGCTGGCTGCTCCTGCTCTTCCTGCTCCCGATACAGCGTGCTTCCTTCTACCAAACGGGTCCCTACAGCCGATGACGAGGACTCTGTCTGCGCCACAAACCACCACCGAGGCTCCGGCTGTCCTCAGGGCAGCCAACAAGCCTTCCACGCCTGCATCTGTCGTCGCTGCTACGTCGCCATCCTCAGCAACGGCTCCTCTAGATCTCAGTGTTAGACGATCGCCAGTTCTACAGGATGAAAAGGAGAATAGAGTCTCGCCGGCACCGTCCTTACCTCCGCCAGGAAGTCCTAGGTCTCGTGGTAGTAGCAGTCCAAGGACACGATCGTTACCAACTGCACAGACTGGTTCTGCACCTGCCCCGCCACCCACAGAGTTGGCATTAAGATTGGCTGAACTGCCACCACCTCCCGTTCCTAGTGTTCTCGTCAAGCAGGGTGTATCCAGGTAACATATTTAATCTTTCTTACCTTTTTACGTTCTTATGCTCCTATGCTCTTATGTTAAACGTCTACTTTAGAGTAATTCATAAGATGATTGACAATTAAATACACATATCTGTTCCTCTAGATGCAAAGAGTGCAATATAGTCTTCTGTCGGCATGAGAATTTCGTGGCGCATAAAAAGCATTACTGCCAAGCAAGGGAAAGTACTGTCAGTAGTCCACCTCCACCTGGAACTCCTTCACCGCCGTTGGTGCAGCTAATTTGTGCCGCTTGCGGTATTAAATTTGCCTCGATGGACAACTTAGTGGCACATCAAGCCTTCTACTGCCCCAAGAAGCCCGAACCAAAGGAACATCATTCACGTTGTCGCAAGTGCAAGGTCAGTAGAATTAATTCTACGTCTCAATCGTTGTGTCTAGAAGATTATCGAATCGTTCGAATCAATTTATTTGATTATAGGTCGTAATCGAACCGGGCACAACCCACACATGTTCGAGTGGACCAACAGGAGGCTGGATATGTCCAGTATGCGGGGCCATAAGTCCCACAGCTGGCGCAGCCCAGCGTCATATGGACGCTCATCAAGGTGTCAAGGCGTTCCGATGTACAATTTGTCGGTACAAGGGTAACACTCTGAGGGGTATGAGGACGCACATCAGGATGCACTTTGAAAAACGTGGCACGGATCTTCAGGTAAATTGGCAGTTATAAAATGAATATGATGATTTTATATTTTGAGTAAATACAATATGCTTTATGTCTTTATCGCAGGAGGAAAACTATATAATCTGTGTTCTCGAAGACGACACAACTGTTCCGACGTCGGAACCAGCGCCTGCAACCACACCGGAAGAGATCCCAGCGGAGGCTCAGGTCAATGGTAAAACGGAAGTGCGAAAGAGTCCTCAGCCGCCGGCAACTTCCGTACCGAGCAAAGTGAAGCAGGAACGCGAAGACACCCCACCACCGGAAGAAAGTCTGGATCCCAGTAAAACTGGGCCGCGTTACTGTCGCTCCTGCGACATAAGCTTCAATTACCTGAGCACTTTCATAGCCCACAAGAAATTTTATTGCTCGAGCCACGCCGGCGAAGTGAGCAACAACAACAACAACAACAACAACTCGAGTAGCCACGCGACAACACCACCCAGTAGCAGGACTGAAGCATCTGTACTTTAGATTAGGCGAGTCTCGGCACGTGCGAAATCCTAATCCTCGACTTCCTTCCGGTTTATGAAGAAGTTTCTAGTTTGCGAAGTCGAGGATCACCCCCAGGTGTCACCGCGAGTAATCGTAGGACTGTTAATTGTTGCCAGTTTATATATAGAGTAATATTGAGTATCAATTTTTAGTTGAATACGTTGTGTGATGTTTTTTCTCTCTTTTTTTTTTGTTGATCCAGGGAATTGTTCGTACTTATATGTATAAGAGCAACTTTCAAGGTGTACATAAGCATTACATATGTACGCACAATGATGCAATTAGAAGGAACGAGCGATATTCGAAATACGATAGGATCTTGCAAGACGCTCTGGCAGTTGAACTTGACCTTATCCCCAATGATATTTTGTACCTTTTTCTGAAATAAGGTAAAATCTGCACTCTTAACGAAATTTTCAACTATATCCGCCAGAGCCTCTTACGCGGATCAGGATACTTCAAAGTCGTCCTGTATATAGATATTCGTGTAGAAATGGCTAGTAGAGCGAAACGACGCAACGCGTCGAGACGCTCGCATAACATTCTGGGGCATAAGACGGAGTTAGGAGCGCGAGTTACGCGTTTCCGGTCTCAAAATTCCTTTCTTACTTCTCTTCCGTTTTATCAAAACGGCCCAGACGAGGGTGTGCAATCTCATGACTCTTCAATAATCTCGTAGGAGTAGTCGAAACATACCTAAGGAAACGATATAAAACGAAGACGGACAAAAAATACAAAAACACGTTACGAGTAAGTAATCTTCATAAGTGACACACGCACACACAACACATCGTACACAGGATAAATATTACGAAGCGCTAAAGTGAGTGTAAAATGTTGTACAGTAGAGGAGTAGAGTATTACATACGATAATAACAATCCTGAATGATACCAATCTCAGCTTGTGAATCTGTTAAATTACGTTGCAATATAACATTTAATATATATTATAAATATAAATGAATGGTTAAACGCCTATAAATAAAGAGTAATTGAAAAAAAAATCATGAAGGGCGGTCACGGCTGATCCGGTGCATTCCAAGGAAATTGGATTCTTTTTAGACGAAAGACAAAAAATAAAGGAAACAAATAAATAAAGCACCGTACATAGAGACACGCGTTACGCGACTACGATTTTTATTATAGTGTGTTAAACGAATGAATTCGCGCGGGTGTCTTTACTGGCGGATGTTGTTCGAATGTATCTATAATCAAAAGCACCGTGAGGAGGATTTAATTCGTACCGGTGGTGTTCCGTGTAAGCGCCGCCGAATCGCATAAGTGTATAAATTAGAATTAAGGCCAGTGTTACATGTATACGCAGTGTACTACTCATATCACAGGATGAGAATCATCATCGAGAATCCGCAGGCTTCTCAGTAGCCCTGAGAACCCATATTTTAATGCATTTCTACTTTTTTCTCTCTTTTTTTTGAAGATCTCTTTGACCCCGAACTTTCATTCATTTCTTTGTCGTTCTAGAATTTTTGGACATAATTTTATTTTATCGCCGTAACATGACAAGACTAACGGAAGTAGTGCACGCACGTCATCTTTGGAAATGGAGTTGGTGCCAAAAAATGTCAGGTTTAAAAAATATTGTCGTACAGCGTGGAAGTTATCTGTTGAAGTTTTATTAGGAAAAAAAAAAAACGTTTTTTTGTTTCTCTTCGACTCAAAATGTCTCGAAATCGTATTTATCAAAGTGTACGAGATGATATTACGCGTTAAGAAGAAGCTCAGCTCAGCTCAGCTTCTTAGAGAAATTTTCAAATTTCGAGGTATTTCCAAGTGTTTAATTTTGTAGGCGATATACTCCAAATTTCTTACATTATTGTTATTATGATCATTATATAAACTGTCATTGTTACACAGACCCACATCTGCATATACACACGTTCACTGATAAATTTCCTTTCAATCATTACTCCACCCTTCACTGTCATTGTCATCACCATATTATCACCATCGTCACACTCTCGACGTGTAGACTTACTTTTATTGTTTTTATTTTGATAGATGGATTTTACACACAAGATATATCTATATAAATATGTAATAAATATATAAACATACAAATAAAATTCTGCAATAAATACCTATTCTCTCTGCATGACCTTCATTGTTCTCTGGAGTCAAGCCATCACTGAAAACTTGGAGTTTTTTTTGTAAATATTCGAAATATATTTATTATATTACTAAATATGCTTTGCACTATATTTATTGGAAGTTTTAACAATGTGTAACGGTATTAGAGAAATATTTTAATACTTTCTCAGACAATGATTAACATCAAAATTAGTTGGTATTCAATCATCTTCAAGCTCGTCAGAGTTATATACTCCGCTATATTGACTGTTATTGCCATCATCATCCTCATTGTTTACATCGTTATCTTCCATTTGTGCCTTTATTCGAGCTTTATATTTTGCATATTTATAGCCAAAACTATTAACATCACCTTCATCCACACCATAAACAAAATCATCTTCACTGGACAGATCTGATTCTTCATCATCAAGCTTTATACTCTTTATAGCTGATCTAATATCATCCTCCCCAACAGATCCCTCTGAATGATCTGAATCTGGATAATCATTTCTCCAATTTGACTCTGAATTTGAGTCTTCAGATTCACATTCGATGTCTGTATTTGCTCCTGGTTCTCTGTATGTATCAAAAACTAATTCCTGATTAAGAGGGTGTACTGACACCAAATGGTCTAACAACATGTCATCTTCAACTTGCGTGTAGTACAAGTCATACACATAATCATCATTCTTCTCTGATGAAGATTGTGCTGGATGGGAATAAGAGACTGTATCCTCTATATCAATAACCGTTGTAATCTTATCTTCAAACGCTTTATTCTTTGCAGTATCCAATGAACGGAAGCAACTCACAACTTTATAACGGTTTTCCTGTGAAATTTGTTTAGCTTCCTGTCGAGCTTTAGAATTAATATCCACTACGCGCTGTTTATAATTTGCTGTAAGTTCATCCTTACTCAAAGTTTTTTTAATATGCTCAAGTACGTTTTCTTCCTGTAACAAAACGATTAATATCAATCATATAGTGAGCAAGTACTCCATAACCAATAGCCAAATACAACCTATTATTTTTACAATACCTGATCCTTTACAGTACCAGCAAATTTTACAACAGCGGTTAAAGGTACGTTTTTGCTTTCATCCTTTTCATCAACATCTAACTTCTGTCTTTTACACGCTATTAAAAGTGCATCCAGAGGTTCATCGTCGTTTCTCCGTTTTACACGCAAAACAGCTGGCATCCTTATAGTTTTAGAAACAAAACAATAAAAGATAACTAGCGATAAAAGCCAAACTAAAAATTTAAGTTAACATCCACTACGGACAATTCGCTGTCATTCAAATATTGACTGCCACTGATTGCCACTATATGCCGGCATTCGATTATTGTACGATGTATGTACTTATGTATGTACAGTAGTGTTTTCTTAAATCACTAACCGCCATGTGATTTGTACATATAAGAGTAGCCTTTTCATGAGCAACAAGAAACTGGATTCAGCAGCAGATGAAACTCGTTCATTGGTTAATTTGACCAAGCGTGGTTTACACGAACAAGATTAACCAATCAGCGAATTTCTTCAGCTATAAAACCTAATTGTTTGCTTCTCGTGAAAAGGCACCCTAATATCTGCAAGGTAGACAACGGCTTCCTCATAGCTTTCTCTGATTTTTTCGTGTTACGATTGTTTTGTAGAGAAAACTATGACTTCTTTCAGAAAACTATCCAAATGCCATGAGACGGGTATGAAAGAAAACTAGAAAATTTTTCTCAGTGCCGCCCAATATAAACTTTCGAATGTACAACAACCTCTTGCACTTATACTTTGTTTAACTATTAGGAAATCATTGATATTCTCTCTATAACAATTAAATTTTACGATTAAATTTAAGGTAAAATCCTTCCTTCCTTTCCTTATGGCTGACTCCTCCAATGAGGAGATGTGCCAGTAACTAGTCCTAAAGTCGGGTTGGAAAGATTATGCTGGACTCTAGACGTAGAGTGCGTAGAGTCTTCTTTGATTAGCCAATCGAATCAGTAAGGCGACACGTCCAGTGGACGAGCATAAGCCATAACTTTTATGAGTAGTATGTAGGTGGCGTTAGTGATGTTCCGCGTTGTATGTATTATACATAAGGTAAAATCATTCTAAGCTCTACAGCGAATTTCCCGGAACTATAACACCAGAGATGAGTAGCGAGATTGCCAGTGAGCCTGTTTTTGGTGATCTCAATTTTTCTCTGGTTTCGGCGCGCCACCTTAGCGGAGGGCCCTCGAAGCAGTTCCACGTTTTTGAATGGTCGTGTATATATAGTAATACTACGCGTGATAATCTGGAGCTGTGTTTTGGCGCGTCGACGCGCCACCTGAACGAGACTCTCGAACTAGTTCCACGTTTTTGATTGGTCGAATGAATTCGTGTGTTCCTCGAGATCCACGATTTTAAACCGGGTGAACACTCAAATAGGGAGACTTGTATCCACCTTTTTTTTTACAGGATATTACATAAACCGTAGTAATAAGGTAGTCAATACCCTTAATATCCATATGAAGCTGTGGAAATAATAGAGTAAGCAAATAAAACTTAAAAAAAACTCTCGAACGTGGGTAACTACAGAAATATAAGTTTGCTAAATAATATACGACAATGACTCGATGGCACATATGCTCGCTGCTGAGTTAACGTCCGAGAGTCTCGGGTTCGAAACTGACGTCTTTACCTCTCTTTTCTTTTAATTATCAACTATGCTTCTTGGTTTACCTAATTAACTGAAGTTTCATGAAATACATGATAATATTAATCTACAAATATTGTATTATATTAAATCGTATACATCCAATAAATTGGTACATGAATCAGCGAACGTTTCTTCTTCCCGAGAGCCTACCTGTGACAAACACCTATGTTACGCTGTTTCATGTTTTAATAGCATAAATAAGATTTAGACGGATAAAGAAGGCATTACGGAAAATTACCAAAAACAAAAATGCACTTA